CAGAATACAAATATTTGTGAAGCTTTGCCATCGCGTAACATCCTGTCACGAAGTTAGTGTTGCTCACAATAAAATTTCCCGCGGGAATTTCCCTTTGTACAATAATATTTCCTCTCGTTCTTCTTCTTCTTTCGTCACTGCAAAAAATTTTTCATTCCATCCCAAAGACCATATGCGCATTTATTTTTTTTTTTTTATCATGAATGAAAATTCTACGCTATTAAAAAGTAGAAAATATTTGATGATGGTTAAAATATATGATGATAAATCAATCCAGCAGCATCTCGAAGTTTGTTACCACTGTTAAATGGTCTTGAATAAAATTTCCTCTTTTTCTCGTTTAAGATTTTAATTGAAAAAAAAAAAAATTCTTCGTTACGCCGCTGGAGTAATAATTCCGGCTATTAAGAATGAAATTATGACCGAGATATCTGAGAATTTATATTCGTCGTCAAACTTATTCAGAATCTATTAAGGGATTCGGAAGTAAAGAAATTTTAAGGGAAATTTAAATCGTGGATTTTTGATCCAACTTCTTAAACGAAGGAATCTCTTCAATAAAAAGTATTCATCTTTCTCAAGAAATTTTTGCGATATTTAATCCTTAAGATGTTCAAGGAAAAGTAAATTAAATTAATTTGTTTAATTTCATTTCATCAATTGCATCGAAGCAATATTAGAAATGAAATCAATATGTCATGGTGTTATTGATTTTTCTTTATCAATTAATTTATTTGGAATTTTGTTATTTTTCTCACGAAATTTAAAATCAAAATTTGAAGGGTTATTTACTCGTAAAAAAAATTGGTAGAACAAAGAAAAATTAGTAAAAGATATCTGTGTAAATATTTAAATTATTTATACAAATTTCTTCTTCTTTAATATAGTTTTTCAATAACAATTAATAAAAATACAAAATTTAATAGATAATATCAATTCATTAAATTCTATTTCCGAATAAATATAGCATCATTTGAAAACAAATAATTTAATATATTGGTTTTAATCAGAAAAAAAGATTTTTCATAATATTTTTCACAGGTGGTATTTATTTTGAAATACCATTAGTAAAAATATTAAAAAATTTCACGAAAACGTAGATTATTTAATAAATTCTATTTTAAATCGACGACATAAATGCAATTACGCAAATATATATGTAGGAATTTATTTTATGAATATATATTTTTATCGATATTATTTTTTGTCATTTATTTACACAGATATATGTCAATAATATGATATAAAAGTTTTCATTGAATATCGTCATAAAATAAAATTATATACCACGAAAAATGAAAATTTTTCTTTGTTCGAGCATTTTATTGACCGTTGCCACCAAAATGAAGTCCCGAGCAAACGAAAGAGGAAAAGGAAACGAATTCGTTTCTCAGATGAGTTTTCCCTTTTCACGAAGAGCCATTCCTTCAAGTAACCTCAAGCAATTTCGCGTTATACAACACTATCATGATAGTGATGATAAGTATAATGTCGTTTATTAATCCTTTGCAGTCCTATATCGAGTTGGAGTCAACATTTTATTTTTTATTTCATTCTTTTTTATAATTAATTTTGTATAATTTAAAATATATATTATTTACGCTTAATATGATTATTTAAAATTAGAATCAACGCTTTCTGTTAGATCCTTATGTTAATGATAAATTTTTGCAAATAAATATCTTTTTATAATTTATTTATCATAGTGCGTTGATCTATTCCTCGATCAAACAGTAGTACTTGAAGTTACCACTAGATAGCAGAATCATGATCAGTTCTTGTTGCTAATTATAACAGTTCTTTGAATTTAATATTGTTGATTGTTATTCTTCAATATACAAGATATATATATATTATCACTAAATAAAATTTTTTTAAATTATCAGTGTGATATAGTTTTTTTTATTGAGATGCATGTATCAAACTCAAAATTGAATTTTAAGTAGCTAATAGTTATTAACAGTAGCTTATTAGTAGTTATTAATATCTTAGTTTTTACTTAGTATAGTTTTAATTTTTTTTTCTAGTTAAAATTAGACTACTCCATATTTAAGTTTTTGTTTTCTAATTTTAATTTAAGTTATAATAATATTTAAGTTCTCTTAAGTAATATTTAAACTTAAATTAAAGTACTGTTTGATTTAGTATTAAGTAAATTAATAATAATAATATTTAAATTTTATTTGATGTAGTTTAAATCTTTAGTTTGACAATTTTCTAGAATTAACTTTTGTAATTAGTTCTAAAGAAGTAGTATATTCGTATTAAGTTCTCTCTTTCAATCTCCATGAAACTTTCACGTGTTGTAAGATTAAAATTATTAATTAAATTCAGCAAACCAATTCGCATAGATTCGGCACCATACCAGTCTAAAACATAGATATATTATGAATATCCGGATATCGCGAACAACTATGGAAGCATGTTAATATTATAATCCTATGAAAATATAATTATAAATCTTAAATAGTTTAAAGCGATATGATATGTTAAATATGATATGTTATTTAATTTGTAAATAAATTCAATCCGCTTACTTGATATTACATTAATTTATCATTAATAACTTAGTTTGTGACAGTCTCGTAGTTATATTCATAACATTTATGATAGAGGGATACATGAGATGACTAGTTTCTTGCGACATGAAGCTTTCGCGTGAATAATCTGAACGTATTACAAATACGTGAATTATGATGCTATTGGATTTCAGCGTTCTTGCATAAACACAAATCTGGAATTAAAATGCAACTGATATTAGTTTCCAATTCGATGAAAATATTTGAACGCAATTGTAATCGTGTATGCCAGTGTGTGTGAAACAAGAAAAATATGAATTATTTTAAAACTATCTAGTAAACAATGATTTTATAAATGATTAGATTAAATTACGTATATTTACAGTAACAGAAATTATTTTAGCATTATTGGGGAAACGTGCAGATATATACAATCATATAATTCCAGAAACATTAAGTTGGAATGATATGTATATAATTTAATAATAATTTAATAACTATTTAAAAATAAATGTCATATGATATAAGTATGACATTTTGAAATAATATATAGCAGTTGTAGCTTCTCAAAATTTTTACCCAATGAAACATCAAATATATCACACTAGTAACAGACCAAATTCATAACATAGCATTCATACCATCAATGCTAAAACAGAAGATTGATTACATACTCAGCAAACCTAGGAAATCTAGCATATTCTTGAGATCAATGACACAATAGAGATTCTTAAGATTCAGGAGAATGTTTTTAGAATTCATGATATTTTCGAAGATTTTTCTCTTCTTGATGATTTTGGATGATTTTTTTTTTAATTTAAATATTTTTTTCAATTGTTTGTTCATATATGGTATATTTTGAAAATCTTATAAGTCCTGTCTTTTCCAGACATCACGAATTTACTCAATGATTTTTTTATTTTTTTTTCTCTATAAAAGTTTATACTTTTTCTTGTATCTTTAGATTAGATATGATATATTCTATGATATGAAGTTTATATTATATCTATTTTAGGTCAGTTAGATTTGATAACAATCTTATCTAGTTTGCATGATTTGTCTATTATTGCGAATATAGTATATTGATATCTTGAACATGGACCTTTAACACGTTGTATCTGATTGATTTAACATTGCTTGTATACAATTTGATTGATTTAATATTGTCTATATTAGGTCTATAATGAATCAAATAGGTTTAGTAATGTGTATGATGCATCTATTATTTATTTAGTGTATATGAGTCAGTTTGTTTTAAAAGTTTCAAGTGAATTTTCTATGATAAAATAGGATTATTGGATTGTGAATTTAATTTAATTTATATAATCGATGGTGATATATTTATAAAATAAAAACAATTGAAAAATTTTACAGAAAAACATCTTGTGTTACATTATATCTCTCATAATTTCCTTTGATTATTAATGCGTTTTCTATTTTTCTGTTTCAAATTGTTAAATTGTAAGAAAAAACTTTTTGAAAGAAATGAATTAAACAAGATATTAAAATTTGTAGAAAGAAATACAAACAGTTTGGTGTAGTTAATTATATAATAAGTATATATAATATTTAATAATTATTTATAATATTTTTAAATAATTGTTTGAAACATTTTGATTAATATAATGATAATTATATATATTTATTACTTACTAAGGGATTACATTATTTTTTATCAATTTTTTATAACTTTTATCAATATTTTTTATAATTTTTTTTTATGGAATAGTTGATAGATATATATTTAATCTAATTTGATTTTTTACAATCAATAAGATTAATTTATTTATTTTAAGATATTATATTAATAGTAATAGTAATAGTAATAAGATATTAGATATTATATATTAGTAATCCATAATCCATAATCCATAATCCATAATCCATAATCCATAATCCATAATCCATAATCCA